TCTCTCTCTTGCTTCAAACTCAGCTGGATGCAATGAAAGCAAAATGGAGAAGAGAGAAAAGGGCAATCGATGGATTGGCATTAACTGTTCCTGTTACCGTCTGCTAGCAAATCCTCTGGAAAACTCTTCCCCGGTAGAAAGGAAGAATCTTTCTGAACTAAACCTGGCTAAGCTTCTGTCTAGAGTGACAGCTTTTTCCCTTTGGCAGTTTCAGATAACTTTTTAAGAAGGGACTTTGCAGGTTTTTAACTGAAAATAACCCTCAACTTTCTCACGTGCTTTTGGACACAGCCCCAGCCACACAGTGCTGGAGCTCAAAGGGTTACTGCTTCTTCATTACAGCAGCAGGACCCACAGTCTTTTTTTAGTGAGACTCCTGAGTTAGTTAAATCATCACAGAAAACTAATGAGATGGCAAAACTCTGCTTCCTACGTTCTCTGTCAAGACAAGTTTAGYGTTACAAATTCTACTCATTGACTGGCCTGAACAGAGTCTTTACTCAAATACCAGTAGCTTTCTGATGGGAAATTCAGTAGCGCTCGCTGGGACCAGAAGATGGAGGCAGTAGAGCTGACCTTAGAGCTAACCATGCAGTGTTTATTTGAAGAGCCTTACATCAGTAAGACTGAAAGCAGTGACAGATTGTGTAATAGTTACTCAGCAAGCCCTGAAACCCCAACACCCTCCAGCCTCTGGCTGAGATCTTCAAAGCTGCCTAAAGAGACACGCTGTCCCGTTGCTTCCCTTGTCACAAGTGGGGACATCCCAACAGAAATAGGCTCTATTAGACAGCAGARAAACTCTTTGGCTTTCAGATCCACCTTGTGCATCGTTGACCCCAGACTATGCGTGGATTGGAAAGAAAACCTGAAGCACCTGGAAAATCTGTTGCCTCCAAATAGCAGTAGGGTGACCGGGGATGGCTCCTGGCCCATGGGCACGAGCTTGTTGAGGTTTCCCAAAGATTGCAATGACTGCAGCTGCCTGCCCAGCAGCATACATCATACATACAGCCTGCAAGGGAGCCTATGACTCCAGGGGCTGCAGGATTTTATTGGAAAAAAAAAAAAAAAAAAAAAAAAAAAACCTTGGCTCTAGGACTGTGCTCGTCCATGGAAGGGGGGCTCTGCCCATTCGCTGAGGGAGGGCTCAGCGAGTTGTAGGTCGGTTCCGTGCAGGGGAGCCCAAGCTCGGCAGTGCCCAGTACCCCGCTTTGCTGCTGTCCTCCCCTCTGCGGCGCGAGGGCGCCGCGGGCCCTGCGCCCCCCGGCCCCGCGGGACCCCCCCGGTCGCTGGGTGCCCTGCCTGTCCCCGCGGC